TTTTTAATTCATTTTTCATTTAGAGTATTAAAAAGTATTTAATTGATTAAAGATGTGATTCTTGGCTTTTAAACATCTTTAAACAAGTTTAATATCTTTATAAATGTTTTTTATAATTTATTGTTTTAATTTTGACAAAATATTTTTGTTTGATATTTATCATTTTACATTTGATTTCGTTATTCTAATTTAATTTTACAATTTTTATTAATGGACTAAAATAGTAAAAGTTTAAAACCAAATGACACTAAAATAAACACTTTATTATTATTATTGTTTTTGCTCTCAATTAAAAATTTTAATATTAAATACTATTTATAAATTAAAATTTCTGCATTACACCAGAAGTTGATTAATAGAAATTAATCTATAATTTAATTTCACCAGTACAAATTATTTAATAATTAAATTTACTAATTAGGTTGAAAGTATAACAATAAATTAGTGTTAGCACTTTTAATTTTATTTTATAGTTACTTATGCACACTATATTAAAACTTACATAATATATTATTTATAAGAATTATCTAATTAATAAGCAAACGATAAATTTTATAATAAAATGTATTTATTATAATATTGAATTAAGAGTGAAATTATCATTTTTGACTTTTATGACAATTATATTTTATAAAATGACAAAACATTATGAATAATATTCAATAATACAATTGACTTAACGAGTCTTTCATGACTTAACGCCTAATTAACTTTAAAATGACAAAAAACAATGAATTCAAGCAATTTGTCAGAAATGCCGTCACTATTGTTGAGTGCCATTCAGTATTTAAATAGCACCACAATTTAGGTCTACAAAACACTAACATTATTTAAATGAAAATTAAATATATGTTATGATATGTTTAAAATGTTTCCACATATTTGTCCAAATACTGACTTCCATTCATTCAATCATTATTTTAGTTTAAATTCTTAAGAATCAAGTGATGGCTGAGTGACACTGTCTTATAAATCGCAGCCTATCTTCAAATGCATGAATTTGTCCGCATTTAATGCAATTGTGTGCACAGAAAGAGAGACACAAACGCTGTATCAAAACGCAGAGTTAGCGAGTTTTTTGGGCACAAACTTTCCAATAATGTATACAATTTTGAAGCGAAAAAGACTTTGTTTCGATTCTTTAAAAAATCCATTCATCTATTCATCTGAAAAACAAATTTTCTTCGCCACGCGAGCGAGAGAGAGAGAGAGAGAGAGATTTGTGAGGAATTTTAGAAATGAGTTAACAGTAGTGTTCGCGCGAATGCATCACTATTTGCATAGCATTGAGAATGTATTCATAGTATTATTAAATGAATGAATGAGATGTAGTGCTGAAAGTTGTGGAGCTTTTGAACTAGACTTTGAAGGGAAAGCAGCGCTAATATAATGTAAAACACACACCGACTGATAAACCCATACTATTGTCACACTTGATTACGACAAATATTTTCAATTTAAAAATTGGTCCGAAAGACAACATTGCATTCCCCTATCCATCGCTTCGTTTCTCCCTTTTTAACAGAATTACATTATTTTTGTTTAAAAGATTGCAAAGCGTTTGATGTGTTTTGAGTTTTGAATTTCTAATGCCTTTTACATCATTGGAATAGAAATTCAAATTGTTTTTATATATGCCATCAAATGCTTGACTTTATTTGTAAAATAGTTTTTTCCACTGAAGTCATGTGTCATTGAAGTTGTGTTCAAATATTCATGACTTGCGTTAAGACCAGAAGAAACAGTTATATAACGAAAAGTGTAATTCTGTTTCGCTTTTTAGCAATTGATTTGATGCCATCCGTAATGAGAATAAACGATTAATTGCATACTTAAGATAATGAGTGTCAGGGCTTACAGTCATTTGAGTACAATATAATGTTTAGTTGACTCTAATTTGCAGGCATTCACTAAAAAATACCAAAATATAAGACCAATTCCTAACTGACAAACTAATCGTTCAAATTTAACATTTCCTCTTCAATGAACTCAATTAAATGAACAAAAAATAATGTTTGCATTTAAAGCATCAAATTGTTTGAAATGCCTCTTTAGAGTAGAGGTGAGAGTTGTTTCACTTTTTTTGTCTTAAATTTCATTTATTTTACATCATTTCTAAGACTATATTCTAAGAAATCATTTGATTGTAATTTTTAAGTATCGATTATTTGAGTTTTTTAAATGATTAATACATATATTTTGTAACAACTATTGAGACATATTAAGGAAAGGCTAATCAAATAAAAACAAATTACAATTCGTTATAAAAGAAAAGCTAATTTGAATTTCTAATGATTGGATTGCATTGAATAGGATTTGATGATGAGGTGGTCGTCGTCTATATATTAGTTAATTATGCGTATCAGAGCTCTCAGTGTTTGCAATACAATCTCAAACAACACATCTATTATTAATCACTCTCAGCGGCCGAAAAAATGTTTCGCTCACAGCATTCACTACATTATATCATAGGCTATAGTATAGCTATACTGTCATTAAAATCAGTTTTAAATTGCAAAAAAAGATGACAAAAGCAGTTGT